GCGGTTTTGATTTTGCGCTGTCCCTCTTTGCCTTACTTATCGTTAACTGTGTGTTTCTGGCCTACCCAAAGAGGCAAAGAAAGGGGTAAATTTTCAGCGAACAGTATGAAATAGAAAGGGTAGAAAGGGCCGTAAAAGCCCAACCATGAAGTGATCATTTCAACTAGGAATGTCTGCGTTGTGGGGTAGACGAGGGTTGAGAATGAAAACCTCAGTACCAATGAATGCCAGTGCAGTGAAGTCTAAAACAACGTGTAATACCAAATTTTAGCTAATTTGCCGTGAACAAATATGTTTTTGTGTATAGCAACGAGCTCAGAATTGTTGTCATCTTTTTACAGGAATCCCAGTATGCAGTTTGCACCAGGCGAAGCACACGTTGAAGGTGTACGGCCACAACAGGGCAATCATCAGATAACAATACACACTGTACCACAACAAGCCAGATATCCAACGGAACCGGTTCAAGCTGCTCAACAAAATTTCCCGGCCTCACAGGTTCGATTCTTAATTTAATTTTTTTATGCGAATGCCACAAGCGAACGGTTTTTAACACGTTAACAGAAAATAGTTTTTTTTTTTTTTTTTCAGCACAAACCGTAGCACATAAATTCTTGTTTTTGGTTCCGATGAGAAACTGAAAGGAATTTTGCTCGTTTTTTAAAGATACAATTAGCGACCTAATTCAAGTTACTGGTTTGTCTCGATATGTATGTGTGCGTGTGTGTGTGCGTGGGCGTATGTGTGGGCGTGTGTGTGCGGAGTATAGGTATGTTTGCGTGTGGGCGTATGTGTGGGTGTATGTATGAATGTATGGGTGTGTACGCGGGTGTACTGGTTCAAGCTGCCCAGCAAAATTTTCCGGTCTCAAAGATTCGATTCTTAATTTTTTATGCGAATGCCACAGGCGAACGATTTTTAATACGTTAACAGAGAATAGTTTTTTCAGCACAAACCGTAGCAAATAAATTCTCGTTTTTGGTTCCGATGAGAAATTGAGAGGAATTTTGCTTGTTTTTTTACAATACAATTAGCGACCTAGTTCAAGTTACTGGTTCGTCTCGATGTGTATGTGTGTGTGCGTGTGTACGTGAGTGTATGTGTGGGTGTATGTGTGGGTGTATATGTGGGTGCACGTGTGAGTGTATGTGTGGGTGTGCATGTAGATGTATGTGTGTGAATGTATGTGTGGGTGTATGTATGGGTGTATAAGTGTGTGTGTGTGTGTGTGTGTGTGTGTGTGTGCATCTGTGTATGTCTTTGCATGTATGTGTGTAGGTACGTGCGTATTTATGTGTGTGTGAGTGTGAATGTATGTGTAGGTGTATGTGTGGATGTATGTGTGGACGCGTGTGTAGGGTGCACGTGTGGGTGTCTATGTGTATGTACATGTGTGTATATGTATGTTTGTATATGTGTATGTTTGTGTATGTATGTATGTGTGTGTTTGTGTGTATGTGTATGTGTGTATATTTCTGTACATGTGTGTATATGTCTGTATGTATGTGTGTGTGTATCTGTATATGTACATGCCTGTATATGTATTGGAACCACCATTAGCTTTCTCAACTTAG